TGAGGTCACTATTTGGAAAGAAGCCTCCTTTGTCTAAGTAACATAAAGTTGTTACTGACCAGCCAGTGCTGCTGCTTGCTGAGGCTGCTCCTACGAAAGGCAGGCTGCTGCTGTGTGTACAGAGGCTGCTACTGCTACATGGGAAAGATGTATTGTTACCTAGCCAGTGTGTGGCTACCTGCTATATGGGACTTTGCTTTGAAGAACTGTTTTGTCTAATGCTATTTAAAGGAAAGCTTCATATCTTTCAGGTGAGCTGGGGAAGGGAAAAATTGAAACACTTTGATTCTAGAGAAAAATAATAGCTACCATTTATCAATGTTATTTTTCAAGATCTGTGTTTAGCACTATTCAACATATTACAACATTATAGAGTAGGTATTATCTATTCCTTATATACAGTTGAAGTAGGTATCTACTCCTTATATACAATAACGTGCCAGTTTATTTCGAGGGGATGTCCGACTGCCACGTTAGCAATGGCTACATGGCCACTAGCTCCTACAATAAAGACTCTCTTATACATCCACAACGTCTCATGGCTTCTTCATCTACCACCTGGCATCCAAGAAAGTCCAGTTGGCGTAGTTGGGCAGGATCAGGACCTGTGGACCTGACAACAACACTGCGAGCAGAGAATAAAGGAGGAACTGAGTTCCCAACAGTTAGTACAGCGAGCAGGGTTCGAGGAGGAACTTGCTCTGACACTTGGCACTGGGCCGGATTCAGAAGCATGTGTGGGTTCAAGGAGCGAGTGCTCCCACATTATATCATTCACTTTTCCATCCTCCAAGTCCAAAACACAGACTACGCTCTTTAAAAATAAGATTTAACTAGAGAATGAAAGAATGAATGAATCAATGAAAAAATCAATGAATGCCTGCCTTACTATAGGTAAATTAGATATATAAGCATACTAAATATATATGTATTCTTTATACAAAGATGATGATTGACAGATTCTAGAGAAAATTACTCCAGTGTTTATCAACTATCAGTGTCATTATATCATTTTCAAATCTCATACCAAAATTTTGATCACAATGTTTATCTCTGATCTTTCAGTAAAACAGAGAAGGGCTGATCAATACACTATGTAGCACTTAGGCATTTCAAGTCAGTATTTGTTCCTTGGTCTGCTCAATTCTAGGCACAATAGTTTTTACAAAGTTGTTTTTATTTGTTTTTAATAGACATTTAATCATCTTAGTTTTTTTTCTTATTTGAATCCATCTTTACGTTCCAATGACATTAAAAAACCTAAAATCAAATCCAGTAATTTGATCCAATGATTAGTCTTGCCAGGACTAATGAAAGGGTAACATAGCTGATTAAATAAAGTATGTAGGTACTGTTCTAATATATATATCTTGACTTTGTGGGGGTTTTTTTTTCTGAAATAAAGATTGGTTTTTCTCTTCCCTTAGAAACCATGACTTCCAAAAAGGACTGTCTGAAAACTGAAAGGAAACCAACAAAAGACTTGAAGTGGATTCAGAGATCTCTTTTGCTTTTTAACATGTATTTATGGTCTAGATCAGAGGTGGACAAACTATAGTCAGTTGGTCAAATTCAGCCCCCTACCTGTTTTTGTCTGGTCCAAGAGCAAGGACTATTTTTTACATTTTTAAATGGTTACATCTTTTTTTTAAAAAAATATATTTTATTGATTTTTTTACAGAGAGGAAGGGAGAGGGATAGAGAGTCAGAAACATCGATGAGAGAGAAACATCGATCAGCTGCCTCCTGCACACCCGCCACTGGGGATATGCCCGCAACCAAGGTACATGCCCTTGACCGGAATCGAACCCGGGACCCTTCAGTCCGCAGGCCGACGCTCTATCCACTGAGCCAAACCGGTTAGGGCATAAATGGTTACATCTTAATAGTTATATAGACACCTACATAATATCCTCAATATTGACTCTTGGCCTCCAGCACATAAAATATTTACTATCAGACCTTTCACTATCTACCTTCCATCTAGACCATTTATCTTTTTCTTAAAAAGGGGAATTTAAAGTTCTTGGGAAATGGTTACATTGTTGGGAGTGTAAGTAAATGCTGAGTTTACAATGAAGCATTTTTTGGCTCTTATCCACTTAGAACTTTCTGTCTGGAATCTGTTACTTGGGATTTTATTTGCCATTAAATGTTTGGCATCCTTTCTCATGAAGCATGGATGGCCATTTCCTACTAAATCAAAAAAGTATGATGTAAATTTTTTAAACATCAATGTAGACAGTTTCTCAGAGACCAAAAATGAAGATAGAGGAGTATGGTACTTAATGAGACAAAACAAGTTTTTTCCATAAATTCAGTTTTTCCTAAGAAGTTGAAACTGAAAACATCTTGCACCACTGACTACAGTGATCCTCCTTAGAGCTGAGGGTGAGGTCTGGAGAAGGGAATCAGAATCTCCCAGGGAGCATTTTAAGATTAAATTCCTCCAACTGCTCCCCTGCCCCCAGGCAGTGAGAATCTGTTTGGATAGGCCAATGCTCTGAGTAATAATGCCTCAGCGGGACTACCTGGGTTGGAGACCAATGACCTGCTTCAGTGCCCTGAACTATGTTCTCTGGTTTAGATACTAAACTGTACCCAAGACAAGATGGGCTCCACCAAAAAGTATGTTTGGGGAAAAAAGAACCAAAATGAACACCTGGATTGTAAAGGCTAGTTTAACTAATAGTATTTCCCTTTCAAGAGCACATAATCCTTGAGATAATTTTATTTAAAAAAAAAAAAAAAAAGAGAGAGAGCCTGGTGTGGCTTAGTGGTTGAACATCAACCTATGAATTAGTAGGTCACGGTTAGATTCCCCATTAGGGCACCTGACCCGGTGATCCCCAGTAGGGGGCGTGCAGGATGCAGCCGATGATTCTCATCATTGATGTTTCTAACTCACTCCTTCTCCCTTCCTCTCTGAAATCGATAAAAATGATATTTAGAAAAAAGAAACACCCATATGATTTGTTTCATTTTATCATAAAAAGGTATTTGAATAATTTAAATTGTCAACATTTGAATAGATTAAGAACACTGTGTAAAGCAATTTAGAGATACAATAGGGCATTAAAATATTGATGTTTAATTTAAAATTAATAGTTTTTCAAAGTAGAATGTAACAATATTCTTAGTGATTTGGCAGAATTAAGTTTTCACATCAGTGTAATTTGTATATTTTTAGATATTTTTACTTTCTCTGGGGAAAACATAGCCAATACAAGCAAATAACTTGATAATTTAATTTTTAAAAAAAATTTGATATATTTCTCTATGACATAAAATTTTCCATCTCTGTATTTAATAGTAATCTAAATTGATAATGGGTAGGGTACATTCTAAATCTGGTTAAAATGCATAACAACTGTTTAACCATATAGCCATATTTTATTGTGCTCTCAAAATTCTAAATATATTCATTGTCATAGCATATCCATCAGAAAAAATGGGGATTTGTAACTTACACACGAGAAAACATTGTTTTCATAAATTTACAAAGAAAGTGGCTTAAAAATAATCCTATACTTGTTACATTGTTTAAAATCCTACTCTTGATATCTCCCATATACCTGTCCACTAAGCAAAATAAAAATTCTGAAAGCATTAATAAGATTCACAGAAAATTCAAATCTCAAAGTAAGCTTTAGTGTCAACATTCTCATTTGATTTAACTGCATAATTGCCAAACCTCCACTTCGTTTATAATATGTAGGTGTGCTCTCTGGGTAACATAAATATGGCTTATGGATAGTGAAACGATGCTCATTGATACAGGCCCAAGAGAAGGAAAAGTTGCATTTTAGTATTTCATATTTAACCCTGGTCATTTCCATGGAAACTATTTATAAAAAAAATCCCCTATCGTGTAACTGTATAATAAGCCTAATACTAATAACTATAATGTATTGGGGGGGGGGAGAATAGCATGAAAGCATCACCTACTTGATATACTAAAATCAGGGAGGACAGAAAATACGAGTATAGAATAGCAATGTGTTCTCCTTTGCCCACCCAGGTAACCACGCCCTCCGCCTCCATTTAATGCGACAGATTAGATTGCTGTTCCAATATGAAAATCCATAAATACGATTTTGTTGTAGCTAGTTGGTTTGGGTCATCTATGCAATAAGTTAAATTCATATTTCACTAGAACAAAGGGAAAGGCCTCTGTTAAATTGAAATGCTCAATATAGCCACAGAGACGATCCATCGTTTCAGCAGGTTTACTAGTAAACTCTCAGGTGCCTGTGGTGTTTCCGTCCCATCAGGAGTCCTGGGCTCAGAGTTCCAGCCTGAAACTAGGATGCCCTCCCGCAACTGACAGCCTCCACCATAGTCCAAGCAGAAAGGGTGTGTGTGTGTGTGTGTGTGTGTGTGTGTGTGTGTGTAGGGGGGGTGGGGGTGTAATTTGGGGAAAATGAAAGGGCAAACATTCCAATTCCACTTTATTTCAAAATGAATAGATGCAGGTGATATTCACAGTTGCTCAGGAAATAGTCTCAAGTTTTAGCCTCGTGAAAAGGCGTCACTCTGCTTATGTCTGCGAGGTGTGTACATGTGCAAGGAGCCGGGTCTCCCGTTTGTGTCTAAGGCCTCTGGGAACTGGAACGTGGCGGAGGCCTGTGTGGTCCCCGGGGCCCTTCTCCGCGTGGGAGCCGCGGGGCCTGCAGAGCCTGGGAGCGCCCGGCGCGGGCAGCGCGTTCCCACGCTCTGGCGGGTCCCGAAGCCGTGCCGACCGGAGGTTCTCTCCCTCCTCCCTTGGTCTCCCTTCCAGACTCCTCCCAGCCCGGG